AAAAAAAAAAAAAAAGAAAGAAAAAAAGAAAATGATCTAGAGAGGCTGGATTGAAATGAGGTATGGGACCGTGTGCTCTGGCCACACTTCCTTAAATAAGCTGGTTGAGGGTCAAATGCAAGACTAAAGTAGATGGTACAGTTGATGACCAAGTGCTTGAGGTAAGGCCACCTTGGTTCCTACCTTTGGTCCTGTCTCAGGGGGTTGCACACCTGGTGTGCAGACGTGCAAGACTCTTCTTGAGTTTGGGTGAAGTTTTTGTTTGATGTTGTAGGGCTGGATCGGGCATCCACAGGCTGATCCCAACTGAGAAGGTCTTGTCAGTGGACTTAGGATTTGACTCAGAGTCCATGAAGGGGAGATAGTAGGCTTTTAATTAAAAGATGATTTGAATTTTGGTATCCCAAACTGAAAGATATAAGTAAGTATTAGGGTGGGGAGAGAAGGGTACAATGGTCAAATAAACCTGGGAAATGCTAGGGTGAAGTGAAAGTTTTTTTATTGCAGGGGTTTCTAGGACCTTTACTGGGCTAAGAGATATCACCATTCTTGAAGGAGAGAAACAGAGCAGTCAGGGTTTAACAAGACCTACTTGGGCATAGCATCTTTTTCCTCCTGAGTAAATCCATTAGTACCTTGCTCCACACACAGTTGGAGAAATGCTTCTCTGTTGTAATTCTCCTTGCCCCTTACCGGCACGGCACATTAAAACTTAAAGATATTCTCTCATGACATAAAATTGCTTCCCCATGTATCCTGATACTCCTCTGTATGTCTGCTGAACTTGACTTCCCTTCTGTTTTCAGGGAGTTTTGTAAAGATAACAGGTTCTGTAAAGGTTGCTTGGAAGCAGTGTGAGTGTAGGAGGTTTGGGAGGGGAGAATACAGAACTAGAAAGCTGATTAGTGAGATGGGGGCAGGAAATGATCGAGCAGCGAAGACAGAAAAGTGGACAGCAAATAACTATTTCATCAATTTGTGAGGTCACTAAGCATTTGATTCTCCCTAACATTTACCCTGCTGTATGAAATAAATACAAAAAGGAAGTCAGGTTTTGAAAATATAAAGGAGGATTTAAATCTTTATGAAATGGATCACTGTGACCGTCAGACTTGCCTCTTTCCTTTCTCTCTCTTCTCCCCTCCCTCCCTTCTTGTCTTCCTTATTCTCTCTCTCTCTCTCTCTCTCTCTCTCTCTCTCTCTCTCTCTCTCTCTCGGTTTAGAGGGTTTAGGTTGACACAACAGAAGTACAATGATAATATAAAACTACTGTTTCATACTAGTGACATTGAGCCTAAAGAGAAAGAAAAAGGGGAGAAATAGAGGATGGGAAAAAAAGGAAGAGGAAAGGGGAGAAGGGAGGGAAGAATGGGGAGGGAGGCAGAGAGGGAGGGAGGGGAAGAGGGGTATTGTGTGAGGATTTTGTATCTTCTTTTGTATGTTTAGTGCTTGGGTTTAGAGGTTAGAATGTCTGGGTTTTTCCTGGGCTTTGCTGGGCAACCTTGGGCAAGTCTTTTTAACTTTTCTGTTTCATTTTTGTCACGTGTAAAATGGGGAAAAATAATAGTGTCTTGAGGATCAAGTGGATTGATAAATGGAGTGCTCTTAGAGCAAGATTGGCACATACTGTGTTATTCTGTTTTCCTTCTGTAGCCTGGCCCTGGTTCTGTGAGGTTAGGAGCACAGGTAGAGTGAGCTGTGTTGTGCAGATGAGAAGAACTGAGTCACAGGGTTGTGAGACTTGTGTGAAGTTGCTCACCTTAATAGTTTTTATTGTAATTATGAGTACTACACATAGAGCTCAGCTTTCTTGTTTCCAAGTATAGATGTTCTTTGGAAAAGAAAGTGAGGTAAAATCAAAGTCAGCTTGGCCAGGTATGGTGGCACATGTATGTAATCCCAGGCTGAGACAGGAGGATCTCAGGAGGATCTCTAGCCTATGCAGCTTAGTGACTTAGCAAGGCCCTACTTAAAATAGAGGGCCTAAATTCAATCCCCAGTAGTGCCAAAAAAACCCAAACAAACAAACAAAACCAAATCCAGCTCTGGTTGTTGAAATCCTCTGCTTTCATTCCTCCAACCTGATTGAAAATTCAGAAGTGATCTTTCCCATCTCCAGTCCCACCCCAGATTGGCGAGAAGGCCCTGATCTCGCCCATGGATTCCTACCAGTATGGTACCACACAGACGCTGACATGCACTGTCTATGCCAACCCTCCCCTGCATCACATCCACTGGTACTGGCAGTTGGAGGAAGAGTGCTCCTACGAGCCCAGGTGAGGAGGGCTGTATGCTCTGTTTTTCCTGCCGTCCTGCATTTCTTATAGCTGAGCTGTGCTGTGCCTCCATTCTAAACCGAAAAAGTGACCCTTAAGAAGGTTGCCCTTTGAGGGGTACTCAGAATCTCCTTCCATCTTTCTTGATGTGCTACGTTTCAGCAGATATTTTTGCTTGGGACAGTCCACCTTGTGACTCACCAGGTCTGTCTCCTTGGTTTGCCCTGATGTATACTTCCTCAGGTGATATACACTTCTCTTTGCTTAGTTTGCTAATTTCCAATCTTTGGGTTTTCTCCTTATACCAGTCAGTGGAGATGCCCACCTCACTCCTTCTTATCTGTGAGAAGGCCCATCTCACAGAGGAAGTGCTGATGGGTGGAAGGCAGCGATAAACCTAGCCCAGCCCGCAGAGTCTCAGACCCAGCTTATCAAGTTCTAACACAAGTCCAGACATCCTTAGGGAGAACAACAACAACAATCACGGTCCCACCACCACCCAAGCACTCCACTTCCTGTTGTTGTTTTTGAAATGGCCACTACTGGTTTCTTCCTGAGCTGCTGACCATTTCCTACAGAAAGGCCACGGTCCCATAGAAATGACTTTAAGAAGCCCAGTGGCTTCTAAGTTTCCTTATCTTCCTTTGAACTAAATTAACTTGAATGGTCTTGTCGATCCAATTTATGAATGGAGATTTGTTCCCAGAATAGCTGCTTCCCTCCTGTATCCTGAATGAATCTACCTAGGAACTTTTCCTTCATTGCTGAGGGCCTATTTTTAATTGGTGCCAAGTCTTGTAAAATGGTAGGCTGCATTGAAAGTATTTCTAAACACATAACCAAAGTCTCCCCCTTCTCTTACTATTGATTTGAATAAAGAAAAGTTAAATCATAAAATAATCTATTATCTCTTTTGTAGCCAAGCTGTCTTAACAGCAAACCCATATATTTGTAAAGAATGGAGAACTGTGGAGGATTTCCAGGGGGGGAATAAAATTGAAGTCAACAAAAATCAATATGCCCTAATTGAAGGAAGAAACAAAGTGAGTATAAAATTGTTTAATTTGAAAATCTCTACTTTTCTCTCGTTGGTAGATAATATGGTATGATATTATGTGAGGCATATGGGAGATTAATAATAGAGTAGACTGGATGATAAAATACTAGTATATTAAGTCATTTTGAGAACATCATTGACTTGTAGCAATACCGTTAACTTATAATAGCTCATTAGAGGAAAATGAAATATCTATGCCAGTTACTCTGTATCTGTTGTAAGATAATTCTGATTTTGTAAACATGAAGTGGGAAAATGTTCATAATGTTATAATAAAACATATCACTAATCTAATGGTTTCCTGAGCCCTTTATGTGTAGTGTGTGAGCCACATACCAGTCCCATTATAGCTGTATATATTTGAAGGTGGTCACTGTGGCCCTGTGAGTGGAGCAGATAGCTGCAGCAACTGTGGGATGGCTGAATTTTAGCTTGAATGCCTGTGCACAGACACAGCTTGCATTGTTTATGGCTTGGGATTTGTTTTCTTCACAGACTGTAAGTACTCTTGTCATCCAAGCTGCAAATGTGTCAGCTTTATACAAATGTGAAGCCGTCAACAAAGCTGGGAGAGGAGAGAGGGTTATATCCTTCCATGTGACCAGTGAGTACTCTGCTCTGGAGAGTGGGTTGGATCACTCACAAACTGGGTACTAAGCTGCTGTGTAATTCTCAGTTGACCTTGTCGTTTATGTGAGTGACATGGCATGTGGAAAGAGGACTCGGATTGATTACTGGTGCTTTTGTTGATACATTAAAACTGCCCCTGGGCTTATGTGCAATCAGTTCATAGGCTTGCACTGGAGAGAGAATGATTTCACTCCTCTAAACCACCAGCTCTGTGTCATATGTATGTCATCTGTCTTGGTCATCAGAGTCTAGTACAATGCATGGCTTATTGTGGTTCAGTAATATTGGTGGACTTGCTGCTGGACAGTTGAAAGATTGGGCTTTCACGACATAGGAATAGTACCCTCCAACACTGCTGAGTTTGCCTGCTGAGTTCAAACTAGTTGTATGAATAAACTTTAGCTCAGTGTACTGGATGAAGTATTTTAGCCTTAGCTGGTTAGTTCTAATAAATGCAGCTTTATTGTCGCTAAGTATTTAGCCTGGCATGGTGGTGAGCACCATTAATCCCAGCACTCTGGGAGGTTGAGGCAGGATGATTGCAAATTCAAGTCCAATTCAAGTCCAGGCTGGCAACTTAGTGAGACCCTATCTAAAGGAAGAAAGAAAGAGCAAAAGAGCGAAGGAGCATGCTGGGGATGTAGCACAGTATAAGGGCCCTGTATGGTAAAAAAATAATGTTAATGAGGATATAATTTTTTAAATTCTTTGTTATGAGTAGGTGTCTTGCTTTAGATTTTTCTTTTTTTCATTTTAAAGTAGAGATGTAAGAAATATCTGGAGAAGTTATTTATATTTACAGATAATACATTTTGGGACCTAAATCATTCAGTGTGGCTGTCATCAAGTCACTGGGGACAAATAGAACTATACTTGTTTTGGTACTTTCTGCAGTCTGAAGGCAACAAGAAGACAATAGTGTACTGATGACCATTCTCTAATGGGCTTTATGTTTCAGAGGGTCCTGAAATTACTTTGCAACCTACCACCCAGCCAACTGAGCAGGAAAGTGTGTCTCTGTGGTGTCACGCAGACAGAGCAACACTGGAGAGCCTCACATGGTATAAGGTTGGCCCACAGCCTCCATTGGTCCACATGGAAGAGCAGCTTACACCTATTTGCAAGAACTTGGATGCTCTTTGGAAACTGAATGCCACCATGTTCTCTAATAGCACGAATGACATTTTGGTCATGGAGTTCCAGAATGTGTCCTTGCAGGATCAAGGAGAATATGTCTGCTCTGCTCAAGACAGGAAAACCAAGAAAAAACATTGCATGGTCTGGCAGCTCACAGTCCTAGGTAGGGAGGCAACTCGAGGTCATTCTCCCTAGACAGTTGGATGCCTTAAAAGTAGTGTTTGCAAGTGTGCTCGCTTCGGCAGCACATATACTAAAAAGTAGTGTTTGGAAGTGCCAGGGATTTAGCTTGGTGGTGCTGCGCCTGCCTCATAAGTGCAAGGTCCTGAGTTTGATCTCCGGTACCAGAAAAAAAAAGTGTAGTGCTTTCAGGTACTGTGTGATGATTTCTATCTGTTAGGAGTTTATGAGTAGACTGAGACACACTCACTGAAAGTCATTAAGGTAGAACACAGCAAATAATATTTGTAAAATGGTATATTAGAGAAAATAACATGGTTCTTTCTGATTTTTCTAATTGTGTAGCTAACGAGTATCTACAAAGGATTAGCTTGACCCAGGGAACTTTCTGCATTATTCTTGGGCATTTCTTTATTAATTCGACTCACATTTGTGGAACACTTGATGTGAGCTAGGAGAATGCCCGCATCTGACAGTGGTAACAAGACAGACAAGATGAGAACATAGCCAACCACTGTGGAGTCCATAGCACAATGAGGGGTCTGTGTCCACGAGGACAGGCATTGGTCCCTGCCTTGCTTCCTACTGTAGCTCTACTCATAGAACCTAGTGGCATATTGCAGGTGCTCAGTGAGATTCCTGCTGCATGCATAGTGTGATGATGAGCTGAGATAAGGACCCAGAAGAGTCATAGGAGGCTTGCTACACAAACTGCCTGTGGGTCTGGGACATCTCTATGGTCCAGAGTAAATCAAGGTCAATGGAGTCATAATTCTGGGTATCAGAAAGCTTTGTAAATTCCCTATCAGGATGCCCTGTACACCTTGTCTAACCTTGTGCCTGCTCTGTCTTTGGAGAAATTAGGTGAATTTGGAGAATTTCTGTACCATTTTTTCCATTTTATCCTCTTATAGTGTCCCTTTCTTAAGACCTAGCATGCATGTGTCCTCTCTTTTTTTTACTGCTAGGAAGGGGAAACTGGCTAGGTAAACTTACCTGTATCAAAGTTTTAGAGGAACAGCATCTTGGCTTAGTATATTTTGGAGGGTATATTTGGATATATGTCTTGGGTATATTTTAGGAAGTATCTTCACATATTCAGGTGACAGAAGAAGTTGTTCCCCAGGATCCTTGGAATCACACCACACATAAGACCATGTGGCTGATATGATTTTGAGCTAATCAAAGGATTCAGGAAGAGGAGGAGGCCCCTGGCTTTGCTGGTCTGGGAAATGTTTGTTCACAATTAGGTAGCTTGCTTCTCTAAGGATGCCTATGTTTTTTTCCTGAAATCTATTCTTAGAAATAGTCTAGAGTCCAGTACATTTATTTAAACCCTAATGTAGGGCTCAGTTGGAATAATTGTGTTTTGTTAAGCATTGAAGTAGATTCTTTCAGCATGATTCCTTTTGATATTCGGTTGGTTTGGAGATGATATTTGTAAAGCACTTTGATGCTTTTAGGAAATGGGTAAACTTGATGTTTTGCTATACACTTAAACAAATATCATTGGAGTTTATGTTCTTTATATCTTTGGCCTTCTTTAGGGTATTGTTGTTTAGTTTATTTATTTATTTGTTACCGGGAATTGAACTCAGGTCCTCACACTTACCAGGCAGGCGCTGCGCCATTGAGCTCTATCCCTGGCCCTTGTTTATGTTTTAGTACAAATAGCGCTGGACATTTAGGCTCACCAGATTCTATTATTTCAAGTCCTTACTTAATGATAGGGACCTGGGCAATTATAGGGACCTTATTTCACCCTCTGAATTGCAATTATTTTTTCTAAAAATAAATCTACTAGACCTGTCCTGCTCATCATGTAAGACTGATAGTAACATAAATATTACAAATGAATTCTGTAAAAATTACCAAATAAATACAAAGTGCTTTTTGTGGAATTACCATAAAGCTTGGTACTTTCTGTGAGAAAAAATGGCAGAAATTTAAGATCTTAGTGGGCTTGAAGTTTGGTGAGAAGGGAACTTACCCCAGTGGAAAGCCATGTTTAGAGCCTTTATTTTGTGATTTCCAGCTGGAATGACTAACATGAATGCTAAAGACTATCAAGGGTCTGTCTGAACTGTCCTTAGTCTTTTTATTTGATTTTACTCAGTGACCAGCAGTGCTATTATTAGCTTCTGTGTATTTTCAGTTTAGTAAACCAGCAGGTTGCTGTTGACTGAGTTTAAAGTGTTTAACAGTTTACTGATACTAAAATCATCTCTAAAGCTGTAACTACAGATTGTGTGATTTTCTTTTTTTTTTTTAATGTGCATAGAGCGCATGGCACCTGTGATCACAGGAAACCTTGAGAATCAGACGACAAGTATTGGCGAAACCATCGAAGTTGCCTGCACAGCATTTGGGAACCCCCCTCCACAGATTACCTGGTTTAAAGATAATGAGACACTTGTGGAAGACTCAGGTGAATAGAACTTGTGTATCTCTTTGGTTGTAGAATTTTCCCAAAGATATTACATAAAACCTCTATTATTTCTCAGTTTCTTTTATGATAGACGAAAAGCAAGGTTAGCGTAAGTGGTCTGCCTCATTTCCTAGTCTTGGAAGTGGAATTCTCATGGAAGCCTCATGGGAGATCAGTCAGCAGTTGATCCTGTGCTACTCTTTAGAGTTGGATAATGGCCTGAGTTAAAGGACAGCACTTACCTTTAAATTTTTTTTTTCTGAAAAACTCTACAGATCACATCATCAGAAATAAGATGATCATTTCCCTATTCTCTTAGGCATTGTACTGAAAGATGGGAACCAGAACCTAACCATCCGCAGAGTGAGGAAAGAGGATGAAGGCCTCTATACCTGCCAGGCCTGCAATGTTCTTGGATGTTCAAGAGTGGAGACATTTTTCATCATAGAAGGTCAGTGTGAAGCCATAGCTACATTGGGTGGTTTCTAAACAGGTATATTGTGTCTTCTGTATATTATACACTTTAGGTGGATGATTTAGGTGGGTGATTTTTAGTACTCCTGTGCAGAATGGATATTTCATATCCAAAATGCTTGGGACCAGAAGTGTTTGAGATTTTGCAATTTTTTTGGATTTGGGGACATTTTCATGTATATAATAGATATCTCAGGAATGGGATCCAAATTGAAACACAAAATTCATTCATGTTTCATGTAAACCTGACACAGAGCCTGAAGGTACCATATGGTATTTTTACTGTGTTTGTGTTTTGATTGTGGCCCATCATATGAGTCAGGTATGGAATTTCACCCTTGTGTTGTCATGTCAGTACTCAAATTTTTGGATTTTGAGCATTTTGGAGTACAGATGCTTAACCTGTATAATTTTTCCTGTATAAGTTTTCAATAAGTATATATTCTTTTAACCAGTAAAATACTGATGTTGTTTTAATTCTGCTTCTGTCACATTTCCTGTCCTTGTAGTTCTTTTTGTGGAAAAATTCCTAGTTAGGTAGGATGAACATCATTCTGCCTCAGATTCTGTCTTTGTTTGAATGGCCCAATTAATTTATAGAAACCATACCTCTGTATTGAAAAAAACATTAGAATTGCTGTCTAATCATGAAGGTTGGTGCCATTCAGTTAATCACAAACAGAGTTTTCATTGGAATAAAGACAATTAAACTTCACTTATAAATAGTAGACCATTGCTTTTCTGAAATGGAAATTTTGGGGTTCTTATCTAAATATGAAATCCTGTGTGTACATGCAGGAGTGCTGTGAAATCTGGCACTTTCTCAGATGGGAAAAGTAATTTGTGACAAAATATTTCACCCAACGAAATGATTCCTGAATCTTTTTTTTTGGTAAACCACCACAGGAGCAATGGAACTACATTATGTGGGTGAAGGAATGGTGTGGAAGGGAAGAAATAATAATGGTGACAGAAGGGAAATTGACAGCTTCTTATGAGCTCATTCTAACTTGTCTCAAAGTCTAGATGTTGGTCCCTTTAATCTGTCAAATCTGTGTTGCTAAGTTGTATAGCTAGACACATCGGCATGATTTCAAATCTCTAGGCTTATTACTATTTCCTAAACTGCACTTGCAAATAAAGATTTCAAAAAATGCGGCAATTTTGTCACTCCAAAGGGAATCATGTTTTAGGGCGAATTTTAGGGAGAACTTCCAGATACTCTTGGTACTCTGCCTTCCTCTGTGAGCTGTCTGCAGCTGGTTATTGATGTCTAACAGAATCTATGGGAACAGAGAGTATAGGTACTTGGTACCTACAGAGAAGACCAAGAAAGGGAGAGGTAGATATTTAATACTCCTGGCAGGTCCCGAAATCTTATATGGGAAATCTAATGCACAAACTTACATAGACAATTGACTCTTTGACTTTTCTGCTGTCTTTGTGGACTTTTTAGTTTCTATGTATAAATAATTAGTTCCCTTGGACCATGGGGAAAATTAAATCTACTTCCTGACACACTCAGGACATGTCTCCCAACTGTCATCACTTATTTTGCCTACTTATTAATCACTTGTCTTCTGCTTTCTTGAGGCCACAGTGGGCCATTCTCACAGCCTGTGGCTGGGTTTGATTCCCACTGTACTCTTCTGATGGGAGACCCCAAGTGGTAATTGTTTGCTTATCACCTCTGTGCTCATCCCTCCTAGTTGCAAGCCCCTTTCTGCATTTAATTTTTCCCACTTGGAGCTGTCCTTTGGACCCCTGAGCATCACCAGCTTTTCCTGCCCACCTTGAGCTTTTCCTTTTCTCTTTGCTTTCATGAGTGGTTTCGAACTCCTGTTACTAGGCCAGGCATGACATGCTCAGCTTGGTTCTCTCTTTTCCTTACGCAGGCACTTGCCACACAGGGGCTGGGGAGTATAATGCTCAACCCAAATAGTACAGAACTTATTTCACTCTTGACTGGCCTACCAACTACCTCTCTGATCTTCTAATTCTTGGTCTGAAAACTGAAGGTTGTTGAGATTAAGTGAGATAACATATTTAAAGTAATATGCATAGTAGGCATGTGGTTGCTAGTCAGTCTCTGGTCAAAAGACTTTATTTTCCCATGTGCTTTCTTAAATGATCCTTTTCAAACTCCACACAGATCACAAAACACTTATTACTGGGATAAAATCTTTTTTTTCTCTGCAGAACATCATCTGTTTTCTTTCCATCAAAAAGTACTCTTTCTCCAAACACTTATATGTGTATCGTTTAAGGCATTTATACTTCTATTCTTAATTACTTTCGCATGCTATTGCTGGAAATTTTCACAATCAATATTTTGGAAGCTTTACATTTCCATTAAGAATAGCTACACAGGGCCGGGGATTTAGCTCAGTGGTTCCACTGCCTGCCTTGCAAGAACAAAGACCTGAGTTTGATCCCCGGTACCAAAAAAAGAAAAGAACAGCTACACACTCCATCCAACTTAGGGGTCATGGCTACTGCTCTGTAGGATGCTTCAAAGTGGGTAAGCTTGAGATCTTGCCTTTCAGTGCTGCACCTTGTCATCTTATAGCAAAGGCTATGAGTTTCTAGCATTGATGCTCATTCAGTTGTGTCTTCCAGGTGCCCAGGCAAAGACCAGCTTGGAAGTCATTATTCTAGTAGGCACTGCGGTGATTGCCATGTTCTTCTGGCTACTTCTTGTCATCATTCTACGGACCGTTAAGCGGGTAACAAGATAATTCCCCTTCAGTTCCTTGCATGTTGGTTTTCATGATTGATGAAAGCTGACTGGGGTTCTTTGAGTTGTTTCTTTCCATTGTTATTGGCTCACTGGGCACATTTTTATTTTAATACAATAACATTCTAGCTCATTTTCTTTGGCTGGATCATGGGGCATTAATTGGTAGAAATCACTAGAGAGGAAAGGGTTTGGACTGTCTAATGTAATTAAGATTTTAAAACTTAATTTTGCATTCATTTGAGGGGCAAGGGGACACTGCAGGCACAAATATAATAGGACTACTCTCAAGCTCCATGAGTTTTATTGGAAAATGAGATGTCAGAATGAGGCCCCTATTAAATAACAACAATAAGTACACAGAACAACAGCCAAACAACAGAGCTTATGTGACTGGGAGGATTGATGCTTTCCAGGCCAGTGAAGGAGAACTGAAGACAGGCTACTTGTCCATTGTCATGGATTCCGATGAACTGCCCCTGGATGAACACTGTGAACGCTTGCCTTATGATGCCAACAAATGGGAATTCCCCAGAGACCGGCTGAAACTAGGTGCATTCTCAGTTGATGTTAATGTAATGTTGGGTTTACCATGTCATCTCCCCTCTTAGGATGATGACAGATCTAGTCTATTCAGATGTTGTACTTTGTCTCAGAAATATTAATTTTATCTCTTAAATTTGGGTCATCATCCATTTAACCTCTTAGAAGTAGGTTCCCTGTATAATCATCCAAAATAGGACATTTGAAGAATAAAGTGATATTCATGTAATAATTAAGGTAGGACAAAGAAGTAATCTGAATTTTCCACGTTAAATTGGGAGGGTGGTCACCTTATCTAGTTGGAATCTTTGCCTGTCACTTTGATGATGTAATAATCCAAGTCCATTTTGTTGATCTGTTGTGATTCTAGGTAAACCTCTTGGCCGTGGTGCCTTTGGCCAAGTGATTGAGGCAGATGCTTTTGGAATTGACAAGACAGCAACTTGCAAGACAGTGGCTGTCAAAATGTTGAAAGGTAAAAGCAAAATTATTTTGTCATTCTCTCCCTGCCCTGCCCACAAGCATTTAACGTGAAGCAAAGCTTAATCAGTAGCTCTGTGCTTAGGTGGGCCAGCTAGGCAAGCGTGCAGCCAGCCTATGTGATTCTTTTGTTCGAATTGGAAAAAGCCTGTTCCTTTATAGCCTCATGCCAATGTGCCTGACCTTGGGCATGGCCTGGCAAGCAGAGTTGAGGAAGGATTTCACCTACCTTGCATGTAAGCCCTTGGGCTGATCTCAGCTTGCATAATTGTATTTAGTAGTCCTGGTCATAGGGGAAAAAGAATCTAGCTATATTAAAATTGCTTCTTAATATATTAGGGTGTTAGGTAAACCTCTAGAAACATAGAAAGGAATTTGATGTAAGTAGATTGCAAAAATAGTTTGTTCTCTTAGAATTAGAATATGTAAAATAATTTTATCTATAAAATTTAACTTGCAAAACAAAAACATTAATGGTTATGGTAAGAAAAAAAGACTATAGGTTATTCTTTAAAAATTAGAAGCTTCGGGCCAGGGATTTAGTTCAGTGGTTTCGCTGCCTGTTGTGCAAGCGCAAGGACTCGAGTTTGATCCTCGGTACCAAAAAAAAAAAAAAAAAATTAGAAGCTTTATAAATGATTATTAATACTTATTAATACTAACGATAATGAATTTTGGTCTAGGCATTTTGATTTGGGGAGGTGATGCGTATATAGCTTTTTACCCTTGTTATGATGTGTTTTCATTGGTGAAGACAGTGCTGCTGATCCTTCTGCAGCTGACCCTTTGCCAATGCATTTCAAAGCATTCCCTCTCCTTTTGCCTTTTTCTCTAGAGGCCTGGGAGTATGTAATTTTGAGGTGGCCCATCAGGCCCTGAGGTGTGTGACATGCCTGTGAATTAGAGAGACGTGCATATGAGGTGTAAGGCACAGTCTTAGCCCTGCCAGTGTCGTGCTTCACCTGGCTCTACCAGCTGGTCCTTGTGAAGTTGCCTTCTTGGCACAGACCAGTTGAAACATCAGTATACATATGAGAATATGGAAAACATGGCACCTCTTCCTTCAGAGGAAGCACTTGGAGGATCAGATTCTAAAGAACATAGTATATACCCTGAAACACAAAAATACAGTTTTGTACAAGAAGAGAATCTGGGCATGATTCCATTGCAGTTATATTCTCTACTTTGCAGAAGACTTCACAGAGGGTTCCTATAAATATCAAACATTTTTGGGTTTAATTAAAAATTTGATTTTTTAATTAGAAAGTAAAATTCAAACTTGCTTTTTCAGAAAATGCACCTGGATGTAGATTAAGCTATAGTTGAATTACCTCTGATATGCTAAGTTGCACAGTTATATGTAATGGAGAGAAGGTTATCAATAATGCTAAGGTAAGGGCCACATTTATGATCTTCCTCTTTATCCTGAATTTGTAGAAGGAGCAACACACAGTGAACACCGAGCTCTCATGTCTGAACTCAAGATCCTCATTCATATTGGCCACCATCTCAATGTGGTCAACCTTCTAGGTGCCTGTACCAAGCCAGGAGGTGAGTCACTGTAGATAGTTCTGGTGGCCTGATTTTGACACTTGCTGCTCTGTTAGTATTTGAAAGAAACAATGTAATTCCTACTGCCTTGATTTCCTTAACTGGGAACATTACGCAGATTCCTAGATAGATATTTCATGGAAATTTAATGGGCACTACAATCAAATTATTCTAACGGTTCCTCTGAATTAAGGGATGTGACATCACTATGTATTCAGATTAGAAAAATAAACGTCCCCCAAAGACTTGAAAACAAAAGACCTTAAGAGTAGTTCCTATCTCTGTCACCTCCCCTTAATGCAGTCATGTCTGGTGATTGCATTGAAAAGCAAATAAATGGATAGAGTTTCTCAAATTTAGTATAATGTCATGGTGGTATTGCCTTTTGGAAAAAGAAAAACTATAAGATAGCGGAATTGGAAGCAGTTGACTTGTACAATCTATGCTAAGGAAAGGTTGTATGTAACCTTCTTGCCAGGTATTTTGGGTTTGTCAATATATTAAGCACTTAGTGAGAACAAATTTTCTTTTCTTGACATACAATCTGCCTGAAGGGCCTCTCATGGTGATTGTGGAATTCTGCAAATTTGGGAACCTATCAACTTATCTACGGGGCAAGAGAAATGAATTTGTCCCCTACAAGGTATGTGGTTTCCTAGCTCAGCTTCATCTTATAAAATGGAGGAAAACTCATAGTGGTACAGGTTGGCTTTTTAGTTGAAATTCTGTGAGGAGCATGTGAGAAATCTTCTCACATTACCTCTGGATAGTTGTAACTTCCGCTATTACCTTCTGGGGAACATGTGCTTCTCTTGGTTTAATTTTGCAGCTTCAATCCCCTAGTCCATTATAGATGGGGAGAAGGTAGATATGATGAAGGGAAAGGAAGGGCAGAGGAAAGAACAGTTCTGGATTATGCTTTCTTTCCCTTAGCCACATCTGGCTCTGTGTAAGGTATATTCCTCCATAAAGGGCACAGTGAGCCAGCATGGTAGTGCATGCCTTGTAATCTCAGGTACTTGGGAGGCTGAGGGAGGAGGATCACAAGGTGAAGCCCAGCCTGGGCAACTTAATAAGACCCTGTCCTAAAATAAAAATATAAATAAAGGCTGAGTATGTAGCTCCATGCTCCTTGGGTTTAGTCTCCAGTACCACAAACAACAACAGCAAAAGAAAATCAAAGGGTGTGCTAAAGTTTGTGATGTGTCTTCTGAGTACAACTTAAAGTGAGATTTATCTCAGCTAACCAAGGAGCTTGGCTTTATGGAAGAAACCCTATGTGTACAATACTTGCCCCAGATTTCAACCTAGAAACTGCATAACCCTGAATTTCATGTCATTTTTGTTTGCTTTTTAATAGTTTCAATGGCTTGTACAATTTGCTATCTTGTAGAGACCCATTTTGTACTCAAGGAATTTGCTCGTTTACTTCTTTATAGACCAAAGGGGCACGGTTCCGTCAAGGGAAAGACTATGTTGGAGAAATCTCTGTGGATCTGAAACGCCGTTTGGACAGTATCACCAGTAGCCAGAGCTCAGCCAGCTCTGGGTTTGTTGAAGAGAAGTCCCTCAGTGATGTGGAGGAAGAAGAAGGTACCTGCTGTTGCTACCTCCATGCCCAGTGCATGCTCATATAAGAATAGACAAGGTCACAGGGTGTTGCAAATAATTTGGTCATGGGAAAAATTTTATATTTGAAGGAGCTGTGAAGTACTTGGCAGCTTCTTTTCAGTCTTTCCAGAAATGAAATGTTCAAGCCCTAAACAAACAGTGGGCTATATTGTGAGGCAAAGGAGAACTATCCCAAGAAATCTGGTAGCCCAAGTGGGCTAAGCAGTTGCTAACAATCTAACCAATATCCTCAAAGTACTGCATCAACATTCACTAGCAGGAGAGGCTCAGCGCTACGTTTTGGAATGGGAAAGGAGGCTCTCTGGTACTCAGTTAGCCTCTGTATGCCTTAAATGGCTCAGCCACTTCACCAGTACCACAGAAATCTTTCAGTTCAACATACCCAGCCTTCTCCAAGGCAGTTTAGTAGCTGTCTGTTGTTTCTACTCTACCCCAAGTGGCATATGGTGGAGGCTTGGTAAATAGACTTGGCTTTTTTTCATGTGTTCCCAGTGATATTTTAGTGCTCTTTATGGCTTCAGCCTAACCTCTAGGTCTTCAATTAGTTCCAGGATACACTGTATCTGCTCTCCTCAGAAGGAGCAGAGACTTCCTCTTGGATGGTAATGGGCTTCCTGACTTCTGGCTCCTCTTAAGGTGTGAGAAGAAATGCACTTTTTTTTCCCTTGACACAAGGCTATAGATAGAACTTAAGTCTAACATTGTTCTCTTAGAAGCTAAGTAGGCAGCATGAGGCCTGGCGAGGTTGTCTCAGCCTCATCTAATGGGGCCCACTATTGAGTGGAGCCATCTCTGCCCCTCTCCTTTTCTCTCCAAAATGGTGGTCAGTGAGCTGGAGACCCAAGAGACTGAGGTAATATGTTGGAGTAGAAAGAACATTGGTCTGAAATTTTGCCTTAATTTCTTCATTTGGGAAATGCAGGGATCTCACTAATTGCATCTGAAGAGCCCTTTAGCCCTAAGTACATAACAAGTCATTGAGAAAAAAGTTATTATAACTAAGTTTGTGTTTACTGTGTTATTTGTGTCCAGGAAAGAAGCCATGAGTCTTATCTTATCTGACCATAGTTAGGAGATCATTTTGAAACACCCATTAATGTCTTCATGTTTATTTCTACCAATTGCACTGAAGTAAATACTACCAATTTACCTAAATTCATCTTTCTCTCATGTTCCTGTTACCTCTCATTTATATCCTTGGAGGAAAATGCATCCTTGGTGCAGGCCAAATTTAATGTGTTTATAGCACTTTGTAACATGAAAGCAAGAGAAGTAAATCTATTTCTGGTATTTTTAGTTATCTGTTGTAGAGTGTAGTTTAACCTTTGGTCTTTGTCCCAGGACAAAGCCTGGAGAGAAGAGATTTGATGACCCTGAATATTGTTGTTTATTTTTAGACTTCTTGATATGAAACTATTGTTTATCCCTCTGGGTACATGAAAAAACCCCATAACAGTTTAAAACGGCAAATTTGAAAAAGTCCTTTGTCTTCCTGTATCTATGCCAGTTTTACCTCTATTCTGTCCTCTGGATTTACTGGTTCAATTTGACTAAAATGGAAAAACCAGTTTTTTCCCTTAGTGATATGACAAAGGCTGATAATACTGGGACCCAGCAAATTGACAGAAGACAGGCATTTTCTCTCTGCTTCTATTTTCTGAAAATCTCTTCCCAAGTCTTGAAAAAGATTACTGTAGCGAACTTAGAGAGTATTGACGGGTGGGAATACTCAATTGTGTCCTCTTGCCTCTTCTAGCTTCTGAAGAGCTGTACAAGGACTTTCTGACCTTGGAACATCTCATCTGCTACAGCTTCCAAGTGGCTAAGGGCATGGAGTTCTTGGCATCACGTAAGGTAAGACAGGTCAAAGGGGGAAAGGAAGCTCTTCAGATCACAGGCTTGGAAACAAGATGTCCAGAGCCAGTCACAAGTGTTTGTATGGGATGGAAATTTATTCATCACTTGGAAGACTATAAAGAGGTCCACTGGAGAGGCTCTGTTTCTGCCGATGAAGGAATTTCATGTAATTCATTCAAATGATGAATACTTACTGAGCATCTGCTAAGTGCCAGGCAGACCTTTAAGCACAGTTGTGGTAAACCAATAAACAAAAGTCTTCACCTTCGTGGAGTTTATATTCTAGTGGATAAAACAGTAAATAAACAGTATAAAGAAGTAACATACATAGTAGGCTACACAGGGGTATATGTAGTGCGGAAAAGTAAGGAAAGGCTTATAGCATGTAGAGGAGGGACATTTTTGTGTGTGCATTTCCTTCTATGTGTGTGTACTTCAGTTTTAAACAAAGTAGACAAGGAAAGCTTTATTAAGAATGAGACATTTGAGCAATAACCTACAAGAACTGAAGAACTAGGTCTTGCAGATATCCTGGTGTCAGGGTCTATTTTGAATTTATTTAACATTCATAAACATCCATCAAAAATATTTGTTAATAGTATAATTAGAAACCAGGAAGGACTGCTTCAGATGAGAGCAGTTAAAAGAACTAAAATTAGGAAGTAGGCCAAACAAAGGCTGAGGTGGGGACGTGACAAGTTAGAAATATTTTGAAGATTGTAAATACCATGGGGAGCAGGGCGAGGTCAGTGGAAGTCACCACCAACCCTGGAAAGGGTTAGATGCAGTGCTCTACATTGAATAGGAAAAATTCAAATAAATGTTCGAGAAGGGCTATCTTGACAAAATGAATTTGCTGCAGCCTAGTAGGGAAAGAAAGAGTTAAGTGTTTTTTTCTAAGTTACATTGAAATTCTTAATCAGTTTTTTGCCCTGAAGTTTAAAGCTTCTCACAGAACTCAGAGCCTGAAGATCTTAGATATGTCTACCAGATGACACTGGTGTACTCTCCTAAGAGGACAGGAAAGAAATAAGGTCTTACTGGATTCTCCCAAAGAGAGAAGCCTTTCACCCTTCTGGGAGGTTATGATTTATTACTTTTGCTCTTTGAGCTCACCAGTGAGTCAAGAAGAGAATGGGCATTGCAGTTGGAGGGTGGGGAGTGGGAATCCTTTAACTTCTTTTGCATCTACCAGGTGATTCTCAAATACTGCTGGGCTTGTTGGCCCAAAAAAGGTAGCTTTGAGGTTGTGGGGCAAGTAGGAAGTACTACCTGCTTTTGGAATCCCTGTTTTGCTCAATTATGTGAGACAATGTGCTTCATCTGGGGGAGAATGATATAGAGACCCAGGTTGTGGGGTGGGTGGGATCAGTACTGCCCAACTTTTGTGATCACTCCTGCTCTGACGTAAGATTCTCATCTAAACCTTCCATTCATTTCTAGTGTTCTCCAAGATTCTTATTCTCTGACAAATTTATCCTGTGGGACTTTAGATGAAATTATGTTGGTAAATATGGTAGCTGCTGAGAAGTGGGAAGTTAGATGAAGTTAGGGGAGAGAAAGAAAGAATTTGAGAAACTGAAAAGGACAGAATATTTAAAGCCAGGGTGAGTTCCATTTTACTTTTCAGGGCACTAGAGAATGAACCTGAATTGGGATAGGCCAACATTGCCATAATAGACCTTTATGGTAAAGCTAACTTCATTAAAAGGATGAGCTCCACCTAGAGATGCCTGTGGGGACCAGTCCAGTTTCAGTTCTGTATGGAATAGGGAAACCAACCAAGAGCTCCAGACAAATGAGAGTCTCTTGTTTCTGATTTCCGCAACTTCATTCAAAATAAATCCATTGTGGGACCATCTTAGAGTAAAACATTTTTAACCTTACATGGCATCATGTAAAAGGGATGTGTGGATGTGACCAGAAACACATTTTTAATTGTGCCCTACAGAAATCTATTTATGACTCCACCATCATACTATAACTTAATTATTTAACTCCGGAGGCTGAGGCTCTTTATGGAACAAGCAGATGTGTGTCTCACTCAATGAAACTTGCAGATTTTTTTCCTGAAGTGTTTATAAAAGATACTAACCCAGTCCTTGTTAATCAGTTGGTTCTCTGATGTGGAATTTTTTTGGAAGCATTAGGTCACAACAGATGTAGAAGAGATCAGCTGTGCTGAAACCTAATATACACATGGTTCTGTTTGTAGTGTATCCACAGGGACCTGGCAGCACGAAATATCCTCTTGTCGGAGAAGAACGTGGTCAAAATCTGTGACTTTGGCTTGGCCCGAGACATCTATAAGGATCCAGATTATGTTAGAAAAGGAGATGTAAGTTTCAAAGATGAATCTGTGATCTGTTACATTTCAGAATTCAAACTCAGGACCTGTGTTTGGAAACAAAAAATGGGTTTTTTTCTTTAAATATTTGCTAATTTGGGTTCTTATCCATTATCTTCCACTCTCTTAGGCCCGCCTCCCTTTGAAATGGATGGCCCCAGAAACAATTTTTGACAGAGTGTACACAATTCAGAGTGATGTGTGGTCTTTTGGTGTTTTGCTGTGGGAAATATTTTCCTTAGGTAAGTCACTTCTCTTTGTCCCTCCACGCAGGATGATACAGGTTGATGACCTCCAATATGTCTTTTCCTTCCTGTATTTCACCACACAAAATAGTATTTCTTGGAAACTTTGGATTGCAAAATCTAGAAGGAAAAAATAGATATATAGATAATGAGGATGTGCAAGAATCTGGCTCAGGGCTTTCTATAAAAGAAAATCAAATCACATGATACCCCTTGTTTTATTTTAGGTGCTTCCCCATATCCTGGGGTAAAGATTGATGAAGAATTTTGCAGGCGATTAAAAGAAGGAACTAGAATGCGGGCCCCTGATTATACCACACCAGAAATGTAAGACTGTTTAAAAATACCCTTCTTTTCTCTGTCTTTGCTCACAAATTCTTCTTGCCTTGAGAGCTTCCTGTTACTGATACTTCCTTTATGGTCTAGTTTGTGTTCTACTTTTCCGTTGAAGCCTTCCTTGGTAATTTCAAGCACAGTCATTGTTTCTTGAAGCAATAGTGCTTGCTTATCTCTACCAAGCATCTAGTTTTTATTAGATGGTAATGTCCACATACTTGAACTTCCCAGTATAGAGCTCTATGTGTGTCTATTTCACTTCAGAGCTCATGGTTGCTCTTTATAAATGTTTACCACCCAAGTGCGTATTTTGAGCATCTGATCCAAGAGGATAGAAGCAGTTAATGAAATCAGTATTTTCCTTCTCTAGGTACCAGACTATGCTTGATTGCTGGCATGAGGAGCCCAGTCAGAGACCCACGTTTTCTGAGTTGGTGGAACACTTGGGAAATCTTCTACAGGCTAATGCTCAGCAGGTTTGTAAACCTCCATTTGAGAAGCTTCTACAAAGAGTACCTGGGTATAAGGACTTTTACTGCTTGAATCCTCTTCTGGCCACCATGCTGTCTTCTTGGCCACTGAAGAAGGAGCCGAAGTCTTCCAGATCTGAGCAAACAATGCTTTTCTAAAGATGAAATCTTAGTTCATAGCCTGGGAGCAGACAGCTCTTATTCATGACTGCTTATCTTTTTGTTCAAATGCTCTTCTAAAGTTAAAAAAAACAAACTGGTTGATCCAAAGAATATCAATAATGAAAGAAATTTCTAGGAACTTTAAAATAAATTCTACAGGCAAAAATATACCTGAACTATGTAAAATCGATGTTTTTCCTCTCCTTGGTAAAATCTCAGGCCTTGATAATTTTCCCATCACATGAAGTTGTACCCTTTACCATTAGCAAGTTAATCTCAGTCAGCATCTCTTACTACACTGGAGACCAATTTTTTCCTTCTTTTCTTTTCAAAGCTGGGGAACCATGGGTCAAATCTGTTTTTATCAGTAAACCTTCCAGACATTTAAATGTATCAAATTATCCTTTCTTTTTTTTCTTGAAAAATAATGTTAAATTGTGCCACCTTTCCTCAAAAGGCCCTTCTTTTTTTCTTAATCATTTATTGCTTTTCTTTAGACTATCATCCATTTCTTCCATTGCCTTGAAATGCAGAGGTAACATCAGATGCTGTGCCCTTTGAGGGGCCTGGCTCCTGTGGAGAGGGCTTTGGGAGAAATGGTTTCTTGGCTCCACGTAGCTCTGTGTGTTTAGTTGTTTCCTCTGGGACTACAGCCTCCTTGGTCTTCACAGGAAGCTCAGTTCTCTGTGGTCTCCTTTCCCACCTTGCTTTGTCTTAACTTCTCTAATTTGCCTTTATACACATGTCCCTTTCAAGTGCCCTTTTGTTTTTGACAAACTGTTTTTAATATTGTCTTGAGGACATGTTCAAGTTGGAAAGCAACGCACTCATTCCGTAGTCAAGAAGCCCCTGTGGTCTTTGTTTTTACAAAAAGGCCCTTGAAGGACAGAAGCCATAACAATAGCACTCGGTATTTATTGTTTCAGGATGGCAAAGACTACATTGTTCTTCCAATATCAGAGACTTTGAGCATGGAAGAGGATTCTGGACTCTCTCTGCCTACTTCACCTGTTTCCTGTATGGAGGAAGAGGAAGTATGCGACCCCAAATTCCATTATGACAACACAGCAGGAATCAGGTACTATATATGGCCAACATCCCCATGGGGGCTTCAAGGCCTTCTCAGGGAGGGGAAGGTGGAAGGGAAGACATTTTGTAAAGCTACCAGATCCCACTTCCACCTAACCTGAGCGCTGACCTGCGTATAGAGGGTGATGCTCCTTGAGAGGCCTGGATAGGTGACCTGCTTCCCATCTGTAGCTCATGTTGCTGCCACAGCTCTTCTTTTAAGAATTCTTCTCCCTGCAGCTGCAAATAGCTGAAATGCCATAGTTAATCTCCAGAAAAACAGGCCAATTTTTACCAAGACATCTGTATTTAAAGCATGGCCCTGTACCCTTTTATTAATGTGAATTAAATGGCTTTGGAGAGATTCATGGAGTAAGAGTTATATGCACATATGAAAACACACTCAGAGCTCTCTGGTGAGGATGCAGCATGCCACAGAGTTGTGTCCTGAATTAGACTGGACCCCGAGTCTCAGGAGCCCCTTCCAAGTCTGATCTGCATTTTTTTGCATAATGGGACATCTGGGCTTATTTGAAACTCAGGCACTGCAGTGCTGTCCTGATCTGTAAAGGGAGCTTGCTTTTTCTCTTCCTCACCTGTGCATAAGGAAAGAGTGATCTGATTTTCTGCAATATGGTATTAAGATCACCTTTCCTATGCCTGAGGCTTCTTTGCTTTGCTTTCCTCCTCTTGCTGTGCCCTCCCCCACATCGCGGGTCTGGCCTGCCCTCCTGAGAGTGCTAAGGCTGCAAGAAAGAGTGAGGCGCTTTCTGACCTGTGTCTGGCCCTTGACCAGGGTGCCACATAACCACGCAGGCTGAGGAGACATGGGGCAGTCGCCCCACAGAAAACTGCAGGATAAGAGAAGAAAGCACGCTTAGAATGTTAAATGCCAACAAGCGAGCTTGTTGTCAAGAGTATTTGGGCATTTTGGAAGAACTTTTCCATATATTATCAGCTTTTGCCCCTCTGAGAATTCTAGTTAGGTGAGGTAGAGACTGATCTATTTTGGGTGTAGATGTTGAATGTGAGGCTCTGCTGGATTGCCTGGGGCAGTACAGTGTAGTGGGTAAAGATTAAGGCATTAGAGTCAGATAGAACTAGGTGGAGCTTCCTAGCCTGCCTTTTAGCAATTGTATGACAAGTTCCAAATCATCTTACCTCTCTTAGTTGCTTTATCTGTGAAGTGAGGCAAGACCACTGGTGCCGTCTGAAAATGCCTGTTTGAAGAATTACATAATATTATGTATATCTAAGTGACTGGCAGTTGAAAGCACCTACTAAAGGAGAGGCACCGAGTGAGTTGCTCACAGTTACGTCCCTGAGATGAAACCCATTCCTCTGATGCCTAACTCCAGGCTCTTTTCTCCAGTACCGAGGCGGGGCCTCAGAGAGAAAAGGATTCTTGAAATGAAACCACAGTTCCACCCTCATGTTTGTAAATTCCTAGTTCAAGTTCACCTGGCCTCCTAGCATGATCATTATTCCTGCAGCACTCTCATTGCTGTGTCCCCAGTCAGAGAACCATTTACTCATGAGCTCTACTCCTCATATTTCTGTTTCCAAGCACAGTGATGGTCCAAGCTGGCAGCCCCTTGGCTTGCTTGGGGCTTTACATGTGGTGCTGAGCAGGAGATGAAGCTGTGTTTGTATAATGGCAGTGCCAAACGTGATCCTGGATTTCAAATGGGCCTGGTAACATTTATCCCCAGAAGCACGGACAAATGTGACACCATGCTCTCAGTGCAGGCCTGGCTCCTGTTTTCTATCTGTGAGTTTTGAATTGGTCTTTCCAATCTCGTTTCTCTTTTAGCCAGCCATAAATTGTAAAATAAAGTAAGAATTGGAATCTTTTGTCTGCATCCCTTCCTAACTCCCCCTACTTTTTTTTTCTTTTTTATAAAAATAAAATTCATGAACACCTTATTATTAGCTGGGTTAAAAGAGAGGCAGAAGAGGCATCTGCACCTTGCACACTTCACTGTGGGACTGTACTGTGGATCTGCCTCTCTGGGGAGAATGCAGTGCCCCAGGTCTACCTCTCAGGGGATGTGTTTTATCCTCTGTCAGGTCCCCAGCCCAATAGAAAAGCTGAGTGTTTCTCTCTTGCCTCTTCCATATTTCAACTCCATTACATCATAAATAGAACTGGACGGAGACATCACTGTGGGAGCCAGCCTCATGATTTGTTGCCCCTTTAAACTATTTTACAAATATTTGTTCTGTATTTATTTAGAGAAGAAGCTGCAAAGTGTGCAGGGGAAGGAATGCTCAGGTCTAGACTTAGCTTTGTCTCTGATTTTCCCTGTGGGTTGACACTGGCTCACTTCCTGCAAGAAAACACATATTCGTTGGACTCATCTCTCTTTGAGGGCAGTTTGGAGACCATCTGTGATTGCTTTTTTATTTCCTCTGGGTTTTTCACCTCCTACTCCAAGCAGCTTATCAAAGATTTCTTTGCAGTTCTCTTCCAGAGAAAGGCTTTGGCACACAGCATTTCCTTCATTTTGGTTAATTGCTGGTGGTAATTAAGTGCCCCTTGTAGATTGATGCCAGGGAAGCGTGCTGGCTAGGTGTTCCCAGATTTGGCTCTGTAATTAGACTGCTTGAAGTGGATCTGTCCTTTCCCCACCTTTGATCTCTTCCATCCCCCACATTTCCTCCACCCCACAAGGTCAGTGCACTCAGGGAAACAAGAACAGTGCTGTGGATATACTTGGTGCTCTTTAAGGACTTGAACAATAATGGCTGCTCCTCTCTTCTTTGTTTTCCTTCTTGATGCTCTTGCAAGGGAGTCAGTTTGCGTAAAAGAAAAAAGGACCCTGCCTGTGCTTTTGGGGTTTGCAAAGCTAAGTTTGAGTTCCAGTTCTACAGTTTATTAGCCGTTTTCTTCCTGAGTCTTGGCTTCCTCATCTCCATATGGAATGTAGTTAGAAATCTTGTTTCATAGTATGGCGAGGAGCAGATGCAACAATATCTGTGAAAAATGCTTCATCAACTCTGAAGGTCCATGCCCTTTTTTAAACTAGTGGGTGTAGAATTCAAGGAGCTGTCCTAAGGCAGCTGCATCAGTGCCCAAGCCCCTGACTATGGTTGGTCTGTGTCCAGATATCCTTGGAATCTATTCACTTCTCCAAACCCCATGGGCACTCCCTTTCCAGTCACACTGCCCTGCTTTCTTCTAGATAAGTTTAATGCCCCCCCCCCCACATTGGTCTCACTGACCTTGGTCTTATCTGTCTCAAGCCAAAGTCAACTTTTGAAAGAGCTGTCTGCACTTGTCAGTTCCATGCTTCAGTGTATCCTCATTGCTTTCAAAATAATGATCCATGCATTATAGTTATGTGACTTTGGATAAGTTTCTGTGCTTCAATTTCTTCATTTGAAAAGTTGGTGTGATAATTCCCACTACTGGAGAGGAGATACCCTGTAAGATGCCTTGAGATGATCCTTGAAGAGATTCAGCACAGTATCTGACACATCATGAATTCTCAATAAGGGCTCCCGAATGAGTGAAGGGATGAATGATTGACTATAGTAAGAGTAGTTTTTGGCAACCACTATTTTAAGGGCTGGAATTAGGAAAAAATGGGCTTTGGTTGCTCCTGTATATCATGTCCTATTTCTTATGGAGTTTGCTAAGTGAGGATGTCACTGGTAAGACTCAGTTTTCTCCTCCATGAGGGAAGGAACCAGCCTCCAGGAGAAGGGGAAGGAAATTCAGCTTTCCTTCCTCTCCTTTGATCCTGAATCTATGCAACATGTTTCAGATGGCTGCTTGTGATAACGAGTAGGATGGAATCAGAGTGAAGAGTGTGTTAGCTGTCCCTGTGTACCCTTCTTGTAGAAAGGACTCCCCTTTCTCCACTTTGATGAGAAGTGTTTTGCTAGGATGGCGCAAGCTTACCCAAAGCCACATGTAAGGTAATGAACATCCTCCAGAAAAGAGTTGATGTGTTGTCTGACAAGTTTCACAATGTACACTCTGGACTTCAAAAGAGGAAAACAAGCTTTGGTTAGTAGAGCATTACTCTTCCTAGGAACCCTAAGCCCCACATTTGCCATGTTTTCATCTTCCCAGTAGCCCGTGGACTGGACAGAAATATCTATTGCCAGTACATTTTTTAATGGAGTAGTGGAGGTACAGAATTATTCGTGGCTTTCTCAAGTTTATATAGTCAATGATAGACAAAATATCTTGAGATTCTCAAGTTACTGCCTTTTCCTGAGATAGGAAACTCTGGGAGCTAAAAAGAGGGGACTGTGAGACTCAGTCTGACTTCCTTTTTGCATGCTAGACCTGTATTACACATGGGAGGAGGAAGCTGTCTTCAGGTCATTGCTGGGTTGGTCTTCAGGGAGACCTATAGGTGTTTCCTCCACTCAAGTTGATCTGTGAGCATTATCCAGAACGTCTTTCTAGGAGATGGCCAGAAACATGTGAGACACCTGGTGATACACCCAGAGCTCAGTGGAAAACTTGCATACAGTCAAGAGGCCAAGGAGAAGGCAGCTGATCACCCAGTCTGCTGTTGTTGTCTTCATTCCAGTCCTGGACCTCAGAAGCATGATTCAAAGGACAGGGCCTCCTCTATACTCTTCAGTTATATTATACTTTTAAATGGACTTTTACAGGAAATTAAGTCTTCAGTGTGTGCTAGCACACTTTTGTTTTGTTTTTCTTTTTCCAGAGGATGTTTTGAAAGTTGCTATTAAACTTGTGGTTGAAAGATAATGAACTTAGGTATCACTTGTGGTATCTGCAGCCAAATATACCACCACTCAAATATAAATATTTGCTCTTTTGCAGTCAGTATCTGCAGAACAATAAGCGAAAGAGCCGGCCAGTGAGTGTAAAAACATTTGAAGATATCCCATTGGAAGAACCAGAAGTAAAAGTAATCCCAGATGTAAGTACATCTTTTAAAAATAGTCTTAGATATAATACCAAGGATGAAATACAAGCTAGATAAATATTAGCCTAAGAATTAAGAGTCTTGGTGCCCCATTATAAGGCTGTCCTTGAGGGTGTGTGCTGTGGGGTCATTATGGAACTGGATCTTTGGTTTTACCATTAAAAAAAGCCCTCATCCAAGGTTCAGGATAGTCTAGCTTTGCATCCTATTTCACTACCATGAGGCAAATGGTCTCATTGTACACAGGGGGGTGGAGATAGGCATTCTCAGCTTCTTTGTGCATTTCCTTTTCTCCTTGGCCTAGGTTTGCTCCTAGGAAGTAGTCACTTCCTTTGGTAGCATACAGAATTTCCAGCTATGTTCCCTTTACTTTTCTCAGCAGGACATTGGAGTATATTGTTTGATAGGTTGGGTAAGAAATCAATTTAATTAAATAGCTGGTCAGTGTCTCCACTCAGTCAACTGTGCCATCCCTTTGTCTCTTAAAAAGGACAACCAGACGGACAGTGGTATGGTTCTTGCATCAGAAGAGCTGAAAACTTTGGAAGACAGAACCAAATTAGCTCCATCTTTCAGGTAAGATTTAGATAAATTATAAAAAAGTTTTCAACAGGCATTTTTAGAAGCAACTTGGGACTTTTATTGTAGGTACAGTTTGCTCTTTTAGTATCTTTGATACTTGGGGAAATTAGCATCCATGAATTAGCAATCTAACAAAGAATTGAAGCAAATCAAACAATGAAAGTGAGAAGTCTAAAAAAATTCTGAAATAAATTAGAGGATTTGGTCAATTTCAGTGATTAAATGTGTGAATACTTGTGAGTTTCTGAGCATACTAACTATGGTGAGTAGTTTATCTGGCACTGGCCAAATAACAAAGAGGTCATTGGATGTGATCCCTAAGGCTGTTGATAAGATTAAAATCTTAGTGAAATCTGAAGAATTCTCAAACTGGTAATTAAATTGGTACATCTGTGCTTAAGAAGTATGGTATGTAAATAAATATTTAGTCAAAATACTGAAATGTCATTGCCTGAGTTATTAAGTACTTAATCGTGGGAAAGTATTAAATTTGTTTTTGAATATACTCTCCCTCATATGACTTAGTAGGAATTTGTTGTTTTCAATAGGTACACCCAGTTTCAACATAAAAATTTTTTTATAAAAATGTATATTTATGAAAATCATGGGAAAAAAGTAGCTATTTATTTGCTGGAGTATTCATTCTAAATAAGAATAGAAAAGATATTTGCTCTTCATGTAATACAGCTGTTATGTAAAATGGGAATACCAATGGGCTTTTGAATGATGCCTGTGCAATAATAACAATAAAAGTACCATTGCATTATTTCATTGCCAATAGGAAATTGGGAGCTAATCACATGTTTCATCGATTGATTAAAAACATTTATTCAGCAACTACTATGTGTCAGGCACCATGCCATTGCTTAAGACACTTAAACTAATTTTACAGGGATTAGATTGAAAGAAAAAATTGTATTCCTAGTTCTTTGAAATAATTTTTAAACCATATGTGAACACAGAGTTAATAAAATCCCTTTTTTGTAGTTTTTTAGCATGAATAATTTGGCAAAACTTCTACAAAGACAAAAAGACACCTTAGAATGGCCTGAGAAAGTGTAAATCTTTTAAGTTTTAGACTAACACCACCTGCATTTCTAATTTTGACGTGATTACTATGCCATTGAAAACAGTCTCCTATTGCTGCTGAGTGATCTGGTCTTCAACCCATCCAAGGAATGTGGTTTTCATGAATAAAAAGCAGTTTTTGACATGCCTGGCTTGATTGCACATACACTTCAAGTTATTCAAGTTTAAAGTTGCTCAAGAGCTGTATTTACACCCCACACTGCTTGTAGCCCCCTAATTGACACAGTTGGGCAGGCACAGTGAACTCTCAGAACATCCCAATTTCCTTGAATGTCATGAAAGGGGACGTTGGCTCCCATCACAGTATACAAGCTTGTCAATCTGCAAGACCATAAAAATGTTCTGTGGGTCGATGCTTTGCTTCGGTTAGCAGAGCTGCCTTTCATCTCATCCCAGGCTTTAAAGACTTGGACCTGAATAAGAGGACTTATCTGCAACCACTAATTTGTGCTGGTACCTGAAAATAGACATTGTCTATGTAAACCTGATATGCTGATTAGCAACTGGGAGAGATAGGGGGCTATGTCTCCAGGGAGATTACAGCCTGCTTGGAGCTGGGAATGGGTTTGGGGTGAAAAGCCAAACAACCGTCTTCTTTTCCAACTCACTGGGTTGCTGTTTCTTCCACAGCGGAATGAAGCCCAGCAAAAGCAGGGAGTCCGTGGCATCTGAAGGCTCCAACCAGACCAGCGGCTACCAGTCGGGGTATCACTCAGATGACACAGACACCACTGTGTACTCCAGTGAGGAGGCAGAACTTTTAAAGCTGGTAGAGGCTACACAACAGCCTGACTCTGGGACTGTGTTAAGCTCTCCTCCTGCTTAAAAGGAGATACCCACACACCCTACTCCTGGAAATCACATGAGAGGTGCTGCTCAGATTTTCAAGTGTTGTTCTTTCCACCACCAGGAAGTAGCCACATTTGATTTTCATTTCAGAAAAAGAACCTCAGACTACAGGGAGCCAGTCCTCCAGGCATTTCCTGAGAAGATGCTTGTGACCCAAGAATGTGTTTGTGTCTTCTCCCAGTGTTAACCTTACTCTTTTTTCATTCGTTAAGAAAGCCTGTATAATGTGCCCTCCTGTGGGTCCCACCATGGGTTAGAACAAAAGACATTGAAGAAATGGCTCCTTTCCCAAAGAACTAGCCATACCTGGGGAGTGGACACCTCTGTAAGACAAGAAGGTGAACTGGGCAATGTAAGTGCTTGAGGTGTTGCAGATGGGAGGGTATAGGGCTGAGTCCACCTAAGAGGCTCTGGTGAGGATGTGGTGGCGAACAAGTCTCAAGTGTGGGATCTGGAGTGATAGAAAGGAAGGCGCAAGCTTGCTTGGAGAGGGCACCGGAGCCTGCAGATGCATTGTGCTGCTGGCTCCGGAGAGGTGGGCATGTGGCCTGTTAGGAAATGTAAAGACTGCAGACGCTGTTTCTGGTTTTAGAAGGTTGCGTGCTCTTTGCATTGGGCTAAAGTCGAGTTCCTTGGGGTGTTTCCGACTCCTAATGAGAGTTCCTTCCGGACCCTTACATGTCTCCTGGCCGAGCCCCAGGAAGGAAATGATGCAGCTCTGGCTCCTTGTCTCCCAGGCTGTCCTTTATTCAGAACACCACAAAGAAAGGACATTCAGCCCGAGGCTCCCTGTCGTGTTGCAGAGTTCTGACTGTCCACATGAGCTTCTGGTTTCTTCTGGATGAATACTCACGTATCTGTCCTGGTGGGATGTGTCTGAGACTGAAAGCAGTAGTGCAGTATCATGCTGTGGTAGCACAACTTCAGGAAGGATTATACCTTTTTCTTCCTCCCCTCACCACCAACCCACTCTCACCCCTAACCCAGGTCAGTGTTGCAGTTATTCAGCCTTCTGCACTCCAGAAAACATGATTTGGTCTGTTTACTTTCTGAATATTAACCAGGTTTAAAAATTACCTTATAGCCTAAGTAATAACAACGCCTATTGTATTATTTAGACTTTTAACATATAAAGCTATTTCTACTGGTTTTTACCCTGGTTTTCTCCTTTTTTCAAAAAAGAAAATGTATTTTTCAATTGGTACCATAGTGTGAGATGCTGGGAACAATGACTATAAAACATGCTATGGCACATATATTTATAGTCTGTTATGTAGAACAAATGTAATATATTAAAACCTTATATTATGTATAATGAACTTTGTACTATTCACAATTTGTATCAGTATTATGTAGCATAACAAAGGTTGTAATGCTTTCAGCAGTTGATGTCATTTTATTTAAAAAGTTGAAAAAGGAAGGAATCTTTGAACAAGATTGTATTACTATATCAGTTCCCTCATTACTAAAATGGAGGAGGAGGAATCAGATATAATTATGGTTGATCTTCATTTTTACTTGTTCCCTTATTTCTTCTTATAAAGAATGTTTTCATAAAATGCTTATATACTTTATAAACCAATAAAGGTATTCAGAGTAAAAAATATATTATCACAACTTTCTTTTCATTACAACTATGTGATTACTTCTTCCTCCTTTTCCTTATACACATAATTCACACACAAACACATTCTTGTCATATTCTGAGCACTTTTGAGATAGTTAACACATGACTGAGAGATACATGATTCTGTGGTCCTCCAGTGAACCTCATGCCTGTTGGAACAGCCCTCCAAAAAACTGACAGGGTGGAGGTCCTTTGACAGGTGCCTGGATGAAGGATAGACCAGGGAAGCAAGGGGCAGATGTATGGTCTCCAATATTTTACTCTCTACTTAGTCAGAACATCACAGCCATCACTGCCATTTTGAACGATTGCTTTTGCCTGAATTCAGTAAGCACAATTACATAACAAATCCTTGGTACCACTAAGCGACCCTACCTTTTGTGGGGTTTTTTAAACATAAGATTTTGAAATGTTTATCTCACCAAACATACCTATCTTACTTTTCAAAATGACTTCTAGATTTCTTATCATAAGGAAGTTTTTCCCATTTCTAAAATCACTCTTTGATTGCATTTAAACCCATTTGAGATTTATTTTCACTAATGGACTGAGATAGTTTTGATTTTTTTTTTTTCCAAGCAGACCAGCAATCATGGCAGCACTGTTTATGAGATATACTTCTTTTCCCCGTGTTTGGAGAGGTCTCTATTTTGTACCGCTTTCAATCCCTCTCTTTTTACAGCGACATTCTGCACAACGTGATGATGCAAAAGAAAATGCCTTTGTGTGTGTGTGTGTGTGTGTTTCCCTGGGACAGCGTTTAACCGAATGGGTGGTTGGCTGGGATTAGTGGATTAGTGTCTTCTGCCAGACTCCATTAAACTAGGTGTCAGGTTGTCTCTGAAGAATGTTCCTCAGCCCTTCCTATTATAGCCCTTTCCAACAAATGAGTGGAAGAAGAGTCTAGGTTATTCAAAATGAAAAAGACCTTAGAGCAAAACACAGGATTTTTTTCACTTTAGGAAAAAGAAAAGATTTTATTTCTCCTAAGTGGCTCCTGGTATTGTTTCCAATGTAAGGAATTTGGCTTCAGCTGAAACTTAATGTTTTATGAAGAAACAACTTTCTGCACCCTGGGAAGAATGCTTAGGTGAGGTTTGGCCTTTTCCCTCCTCTGTCTACTTACCATACATCTTGTTAGCTCTTTTTCCTCTCCTCACTTGTCTTGTATTGAGAAAATTGTGGCTTTTTAAAGTACTTCCAGCATGGTCTTGTTTTCAAAGAGTAATTTGGTGTGTTTTAGGCAAGATCACACTCTCCCTTGAGCTCCTGCCCTCCCTCCTTTATTCCCTTTTCTTCTCTCTCCTCTCCAAGCCCTCTGTCTCCTCCTCACCTTCTTTGTCTACTAACTTCCTCTTCTCTATACCCTACTCCTGGAAGCCTTTGTCCTCTGCAGTAAATCAGGGAAAGTTGGGGGGAGGCTTAAGTTCATTGCTCTTAGACTGAGTTTCCCTATCAAGGCAAGTTCCTTTGTCCTCTTCAAAGAAAGGAAAGTAGAAAAGTAAAAGCTGTAAACCCACAACTGTGTAGTTGTTAACCCAATTTTCCTGTCTCCCCTTAGCATGTTACTTTCCACCTCAGACTCAGATATTAAAGTTAAGCAAAGCTAAAAAGCATAACATTTCCCCACATTTGCATGTCTAAGGAAAAGCCCTTAAGGGTAGTAGGCATGTCCATGCATTCTTAGGTAGACAGAGGATACAGCTCAATAGGAGTTCTAACTCATTTGTATAAAATTACATTTTTGAGTGAATCTTTTCCATTTCAAGGGTGTAGACGTAAGTAAAAATCTGAATACTATTTTTTTGCAAGCAATTTTAATTCCAATTCTTGGGAAAATAGAGAATGTTCCTAGTTGATAAATGAAAATGATAAAATAGTTTATTCTATTTTTGATTGGAATCTGATGAGCAACCCAGAAAGAACATTGTCAGTCAGGTTGGCCTGAAATTCTGGAGCTAAAGTAGTAGAACATACCAGTCCCAGAAAAAAGGCTGACTGAGAGATAAGGGCTCTGAGCTGGGAAAAATATTCCACTGGAAACTACTGATAAGGATTGCAGTAAACTGTGATTGACATCAAGTGAATGGTAGGGAGAAGATATCAAATTGTTCCTTAGATTCTCCCTTCCAATACATGATTTTTATGTAATTTTTTGATGTTTATAAAGCAACATAAAATTTAGTGGTTTTATTTTTTTAGTTTAAAAATAAAAAAATGAGAAATGTATAGTTTGATTGTTTTTACTTTAGCCTCACCTGTTGTTTACACCAAATACTTTAGGACATATAATCAACATACCTATTGTAATTGTTTGAAACTCGCAATGTTTAGATACATGTCAGTAGAAAAAGGGAAGGGGATTAGCACACTGATTTATTTTTTATTTTCTACGTTTTTTAGTTTTGTTCCAGGTTTTTCTCTGTTTGTCTTTTCCATTCAGAAAATAGTATTTGGGGGAAACAGTCTGTTTTCTGTTACTATAACTAAATGCCACAGACTGGATATTTATAAAGAAGAGAGGCTTACTTAGCTCTTGATTCAGGAGGCTGCAAAGTCTAATAGCAGAGTTCTGGTTTCTAGTGAGGGCCTTCTCCCTGCATTGTAACGTGGTGGAGGGCATCTTGTGGTGAGACTCAGCAAGTGTGTTAGACCAGGTCTCTTTTTCTTTTCCTATAAAAACCACTAATGCCTTCATGGGGGCATTAATCTCATCTAATCCTAATTACCTTTCAAAAGTCACCATCAAATATCACTAACATATAACTTTGGGGCTTACATTTCCAGCTCATAAAATTTGGGGGAAGATATTTAAACCATAGCAGGGAAAATATATGTTAAATTCTTCAGTTAAAGAGCTCTCACAGTGTCTGACTCTGGGTCCATGTATGGCTCATAGGATATGGGACATGGATTGACACATCAAGAGTCTTTTGAACTAGTACAACCAAGGAAAGTATAATGGGATCCGAGTGTGATATATGGGGATCTCTTTAAGCTAAAATGACTCATATCCTGACAAAGAGGATTGAAAATATCCCACATTCCATGCATTGCCCCAGAGAGACCAAAACTGGGAATGAAAAACTCAGATATAAGACAGAGAATGTAGGCTGTCTAGAACATGAGCAGAAATATCCCATGGTCATTCCCCAGGTTAACAAGAAAATTGGCAAACAGAATCCTGCAGTGCACATTGGGGAAAAGCAAGGTTTCCCATAAAAATCAAATGCCAAAGATCCAGCCCTGAATATTAAACTTTAAGTAATCTTTTGTTTGTTTTTATTTGATTTTATTTATAAAATGCTTACAATGTGCCAAATAGTCATTTTAAAAGTTTATAGATATTGACTCATTTAAATGGTAGGAAATCTAGAACAAGATGTGAGCATCACAGCACAGCGTAGGTCGGGTGGGTAACCCCGGGCACACAAGAGGACCCTTGTTAATGGTTTCCATAAGTGGCAGATTTCTAAGATGGTAATTAAAATTATTTCTCTAGCTGCATGGATTGAGAGTTATCAACAGAATCATAGAGAGGCGGGACTCTACTCTCATTTCAGACCTCTCTGTATATCTTTATGATCTCACTGTAATGAATTGAGCATAGTTTCCTTGTTGACTCAGCCATTCTTTATTTAGTCATTCTAGTCTGAGTTCAGGATCTGTTTCAGATTCTGTAACGCATAGATGTTTGTCATGGGAGCACCTTGAGACTGGAAACACAAGAGAACAAGATAAGAACCTTCTTACTGAAGACTGAGAAAATTAAGCTTATCTTTGTCTGGTTCACCTCATGTAAAATTTGTATTTCACTTGTGAAGCAAAATGAGATTATGATTATATTTGGGAAGAATTCGGCATTGGCAGGGCCTGAATGGCAGTGCACAAGGAATCTTTGTTATAAGTAGGGCTGTATTGTCCTTCACACTACTACTCTTCATTTAAAATTTTTGCAACAGATGAAAATCCAGAGCACAGAAAGAGTAGATTCTATTATTGTCAGTTTTACCAGAAATTCTTCAACAGAAATTGTTTCACAGAATGATTTCCCCTTGGGCATTTCCAAATATTATCAAGTAACACACAATATTTCCTAAATACATCTATTTCATAAAACAAAGTGTACTTTCGTATAAATTAGCTTGAGAATCTTTTAAGAAACTTATACTTGAAGTTAATAGAAATGACTTTTCTTTCAATTCAGTCATTGTGGATAGATCATGAAATATTGTTGTGCTTTTCCCCCTGCCCTATCCTCTCTAATGTTGTTGGAAAATTACCTTGAGGATCTGTCATGAAGAGAGAAAAAAAAGCATCCTCCTTCTTTTGTCACCTATTTTATTAGTGAATTTTAGAGCTCTGCCTGCTTTTATTCCTGTAACCTTTTGTGCTGAAGAAGAGCTCATGGCTTCTTAGATGGAGGAACAGGACAAAGGGCTGTCATGCCAGAATCTATTCCTGAGTCTGATCTTACAGAATTCATTTAGAATCCTCACTCAGAAAAAGCTTTAGTGAATACTAATTTTGAGTGACATATAGTGTTACCGCAAGTTTAATCATGGTATAATAGAATTTTTAGATAAGTATATATTATGGATTTAACTTTCATTGTGTTTCTTCACTTCTTGGTAATGGACATTTAAGTAGCTCTGTGGTCAGTCAGTCAGTAGAAATGGGAAGGGTGGAGAACTAATGTTGATCATCTGTCATATGCCAGGTATTGAATTTCGTGTACTATCTCGTTAAACCTTTGCAATTGGCCCTTGTGTTAGGTGTCATTATCACCTTGTTACAAGTAAAGTTTGGCAGTTAAGGTGTTTTTTTGGTACATGTTTGTAGTACATACTGATTACATTCATCATGGGGAATTGGTACATGTACGTGGCATTTCTTAATTTTTTTAACCCATGCCCCTCCTCTCTCTCCCCCTCCCTGCATCTCTTGGACCCCTTTATATATATATATGTGATTTAATA